TTGAATGTTAAGTTAATTTGATGAATTAATTATTTATTTCATGGAATTCAATGCGAATTTGATGAATTGAATATTAATTTTATGTTAATTTGATGAATTGAAAGTTAATTTAGTGTTAATTTGAAGAGTTGAATATTAATTTGGTGTTGATTTGATAAATTGAATATTAATTGGATGAAATTGAATCTTAATTTGATAAATTTAATTGTAAATAGTTAATTCAAATGTTAATTTAATAAATTGAATGTTAATTTTTTGAATTGAATGTTAATTTGGTGTTAATTTGACAAATTACATATTTATTCAATGAATTTTTATATTACATTGGTGTTGGTTAGATAAATTGAATTTTTATTAGATGATTTTGAATGTTAATTTGATGAATTCAGTGTAAATTGGATGAATTTGAATATATATTGGATGAATTGAATATTAATTTAGTGTTAATTTGATAAATTAAAATTTTATTGGATGGAATTGATTGTTAGATTAATTTGATGAATTAAATGTTTATTAGATAGAATTGAATGCAAATTTAATGAATTGAATATTAATTTTTTGTTAATTTGATGAATTGAATATTAGTTTGGTGTTGATTTGAAGAATTGCATGTTAATTTGGTGTTAATTTGATGAATTGAATGTTAAATAGTTAATTTAAATGTTAATTTAATGAATTGAATGTTTATTATTCGAAATAAAATGTTAATTTGTTAAATTGAATGTTAATTTGGTATTGATTTGATGAATTAAATCTTTATTAGATGCTTTTTTATTTTAATTTGATGAATTCAATGTTAATTTAATGAATTAAATATTAATTGGATGAATTAAATTTTAATTTAGTGTTAATATGATGAATTGAATGTTTATTTGGTATAAATTTGATTAATTGAATATTAATTTGGTGTTAATTTGATGAATTAAATCTTTATTAGATTATTTTTTATTTTAATTTGATGAATTGAATGTTAATTTAATGAATTAAATATTAATTGGATGAATTGAATTTTAATTTGGTGTTAATATGATGAATTTAATGTTTATCTGGTATAAATTTGATGAATTGAATATTAAATGTTATTCAATGAAATTGAATATTAATTTGTTGAATTGAATATTAATTGGTATCGATTTGATAAATTAAATGTTTATTGAATGAAATTGTATGTTACTTTGACGTTGATTTGTTAAATTGAACCTTTATTGGATGATTTTCGATTCTAATTTGATAAATTGAGTATTAGTTTAATGAATTTGAATATAAATTCGATGAATTGAATGTTAATTTTGTGTTGATTTTATGAATTGAATATTAATTGGATGTGATTGAATGTTAATTTGAAGAATTAAATGTTTATTAGATGAAATTGAATGTTGATTTAAAAAATTGAATGTTAATTTGTTATTTATATAATATTTATTGGATGAAATTGTACGTTACTTTGGTGTTAATTTATTAAATTGAATCTTTTTGGGAGGATCTTCGGTGTTAATTTTATGAATTGAATGTTAATTGAATGAATTTGAATATAAATCGGATGAGATTGAATGTTACGTTGATGAATTAAATGTTTATTACTTGAATTTTAATGAATTAAATGTTTATTAGGTAAAATTAAATGTTGATTTAAATAATTGAATGTTAATTTGGTGTAAATTTGATGAATTGAGTATATTTTCAGGATAAAATTAAAAATTTTAGGAATAAAATTGATAAATTAATATTTTAGGAACCATAAATATATATAACTTTAAGGATAAAAGTGTAATTAATTTTTTCTTATATTACGACAGTCTAGGAAGCGTCGGTCATAGGTTAGAAATGAAGACTTACACTTTCATCCCTAAAATTATACATATTTATTAATTTGGTCTTTAAAATATTAATTTTTTAATTTAACCCTTACAATATTTAATTTTGTATTCAAATAGTCTCAGATAAACATTTAACATGCAAAAACATCCAATAAAATAATCCAATTAATATTCAACTCATTAAATTTACACTAGATTAACATTCAACTCTTCAAATCAAATTCAACTTCATCTAATAAACATTTAATTCATCAAATTAACATTCAAATTCAACAAATTACCATTCAATTCATCCAATTTATAGTAAAATTTATTCAATTAACACTCAATTAATCTAACTAATATTCATTTATCAAATTAACACCATATTAATATTTAATTCATCAAATTATTTGGTAGGTTATATGGTTAGAGGTGGGTAAAGTTGGTGTTGCAATTTTGTTTTAAGTTGGATTACAACTTTTATGAATTGAGTTTCAACTTTTTGGGGTATGTTATTATTTTTGGAACAAATTCGTCAAATTAACATCCAAAATCATTCAATAAATATTCAATTTATCAAATCAACATCAAAGTAACATGCAATTTCATCCAATTAATACTCAATTCATTAAATTAACATTCAAATTTTCAAATTAACATTTAATTTTACCTAATAAACATTTAATTCATTAAATTAACATTAAAATTCAACTAATAAATTAACATTTAATTTTACCTAATAAACATTTAATTCATTAAATTAACATTAAAATTCAACTAATAAACATTTAATTCATCAACATAACATTCAATCTCATCCAATTTATATTCAAATTTATTCAATTCATAAAATTAACATCAAAAATCCTCCAATAAAGATTCAATTTAACAAATTAACACCAAAGTAACATGTAATTTCTTTCAATAAACATTAAAATTTTTAAATAAATAACAAATTAACATTTAATTCTTCAAATCAACGTTCAATTTCATCTAATAAACATTTAATTCATCAACTTAACATTCAATCACATCCAATTAATATTCAATTCATCTAATTTATATTTTTTTTTATCATCATCTAATTTATATTCAAATTCATTAAATTAGTACTAAATTTATCAAATTAGCATCGAAAACCATCCAATAAATGTGCAATTTAACAAACCAATATTAAAGTAACATACAATTTCATTCAATAAACATTCAATTCATCAAATCAATACCAATTAATATTCAATTCAACAAATTAACATTTAATATTCAATTCATCATATTAACACCAAATTCTAAACCAAACAAATACTTTTGTATGGTGAAAGGGAGAAGAGATGTACGGTAAAAGAGATGGAGGGAATGCAATAGAAATGAAAAATGGTTTGGGTGGGAAAAGAGATGGAGGGAAGGCAAGAGAAGTGAAAAATGGTTTGAGCGGGAAAGTGGGTGAAGGAAGAAGATAAGGTTTTTATGATTTGTAGACCACAATATAAACTGAAAAATAAAAAAAATTACAACTAGAAGAATAAAGACCGGTCGAAGAAATGGACGACCGATCGAGGGTTAATATCACACTTTTATCCCTTAACTATCACACTTTTATCCTTTAAATAATCAAAAAATTCCTATTGCAGTCAAAAAATATTCAATATTTTTTAAATAGTCCCATTTTTTATTAACAACAAATAAATAATGAATAAAATCAAATAATTAAAAGAATTATAAATAATGCTTCTAACTATTTGGGTAGGGGTATAATTTTTTTGGATTAGATTCCAATTTTTGGGAAAACTCGAATTAGCTAAATTACAACTGTTTTGGTGAGATTTCAACTATTTTGAATTGTGTTATAAGTTTTTGGTATGAGGTTTAATTTTTTAGGATTGTATTGGGATAGAGTTTCCAACTCTTTGGGGGAGGGGTTACAATTTTTTTGTGTAGGGGTTTCAACTCTTTTAGGCAGGGGTTCCAACCTTTTGGGTAGGAGTTTCAACTTTTTTGGATAGATGTTCCAACTCTTGGTGAGAGGGGATCCAACTTTTTTGGGTAGAGGTTCCAATTTTTTGGGTTGAGGTTCTAATTTTTTGGGTAGAGGTTTCAACTTTTTAGGGGAGGAGTTCTAACTTTTTTAAGTAGGGGTTTCAACTTTTTTAGATAGGAGTTCCAACTCTTAGGGAGAGGGGTTCCAACTTTTTTGGGTAGGGGTTTCAACTTTTTTGGGTTGAATTTCAATTTTTTTGGTACCAGTTATAACTACTTTTATGGTTCAACACTATACCGGTGAAACCGGTTTTAATAAGCCACGTGTAAAACAGATATGCCAACTTACTTTCGGTATGGTACCGAAAAGCAAGTTGACGGTATAGTAGTGTTACCCTAAAGGCTATGGATCTTCTTGATTTGGTAAACTAGGAGGCTTTTATGACATGGTGGTTAGTTAGGTCTCTTGTCCACATGGCTTCAATTTGAATGGTTTGAAGAAGTTAGGCTTCTCCCCCAATGTATTTAACAGTAATGGACAATGATCAGATTCAATAACTGGGAAGTGTCTAACTACAGCCATTGGGAACAGCATCCTCCATGCAGAAGTCACCAAGCCCCTGTCTATCCTTTCTGTAATATTTGTCAATCATTCTCTCTTGATTGACCTCGTAAATGGGTTTCCTATGCATCCCAAATCGACAAGTCCATAGTTATTAATGAAAGAACCAAAGCCACTATTGGAAGGTGAGGCAAATGACACCTCCCTTTTGTTTTTTCAGACACTATCCTGACATTATTAAAGTCACCAACAAATAAAGTTGGAAAGACAAAGACATTAATGATTTGGTTCATTTTGTCCTAGAGTTGGTTTTGCTTGCTTCTAATGGCTAACAACTCCCAAGATAATGTTAAGGAGCCATTGGGAATGAGGTGGGTCAGAGCTTACAACTCCCAAGATAATATTGTGGTCAGAAAGTGCTATTTTTATTTCCATTTTCCACATCTTTATTCCAACGTAAAGCTAAACCCCCACAGAGACCTTTTGCAAGTTGTATTTCAAAGTGCTGGAAACCCAAGCCGAGTATGATTTTTTTTTTTTTTGGTAAGGTATTTTGGTATCTGACAAAACAAGGAAATCTTGATAAAATTCTCTTATTGGAGCCCGTAAATGTCAAATTGTCGAGGTATGGGTCAACCCTTGATAATTACATACATACCCACTCATGATGGAGGTGGGGGCATGGTCAGGCCTGCCTCCTTGGCTGTTAATGAGTTTTCCTTTGTCCATTCAACCTTTGTCTCTTGCATAATTTTTGTAGTTTCCACTGCCTTCCTGCTAATAGGCCTCTGATGCAAGAACTTCCTGGTTGACTCCCTTTTCATAGGGGGTTGCTTAACTATGGTGGTGGGCTTTGAAGTATTTGTAGGAAGAGCCATTGCATGGTGGCTATAGGATGTAGTTCCTGTAACTGATGATTCTCTTATAGCAATCTTACCATCTTCCCTCCTACAGAACTTGGTTGTTCTCTAATATTGACATCCTTAAATATACTCCTTTTGAGAGAAAATTTACTGGATCAGAGGAAGTACGGGTGGGAGTGTGAGTAGGTCTTTGGTTCAGAGGAAGCAGGGTTGGGAGTGGATCCTTGGCTTGTAACTGTAGTTCTGTGAGTAGTGTATTGGATCCTTGGGACTGAGTTAAGAATTTCTTTGTTGATTTGGGTCTTGGGTGAGAGTGTTTGGTTTGGGCTTTTCATTTTTTGAAATGGACTTCTTCTGGGTTTATAGTGGAGAAGGTAGTGGTTGGGTCAATGGTCTGCTAAGTTTGAGTCAAAGCATTGGGCTCTTTATCTGGTAGGGTGAGTTTTTTTTTGGTAATTTGGTTGTGTGATGGTTGTTGATTATAGGGTAAGAATGCTTATCAACTTATGAGGAATGGTCAAGACAACAAGTTAATAAGGAGAAATCCAAAATTTTCTATAGCCCTAATGTCCAAAGTGTTGTAATCAGAGAAGTCAAGAGTATATTGGGATTGAAAAAAAGGAGTTTCAACATATTTGGGATTGCCTCTCATGATTTATGGATCTAGAATAAGAGCATTCCATCCCCCTTTTTAGAGACTGGAAAAACAACTCCAATGATGGCAGTCTAAGCTACTTTCTTATGCTGGCAGGGCAACTCATCAACAATACCACCAAAAATGGACCACTCATTTCAATAAGAAATATTGCTAAAAAATGTCATTCTACGCAAAAGCATCCACAAGACTTAACAATATGGAAGTAGATATTAGAATGCAGACCTATCATCAATGGACAGTCCATTAATGTATAGACTGAACCTTGGGTACCCAACATACACTATTATAGAGTGCAACTGGAAAATGAAGTGGAGGCTAATTGCAGAACTTATTGACCAGAAAAACAAGTATTGGAAGGAAGATTTGCTACAGTCTATGTTTAGTATACAGACAAGTCAAGCCATACTACAAAATCAAGATTCCAACTATGGATCAGATGACCTAGATCCCTTGCAAAAGTGGAGACTTTAGCACAAAGTCAACATTCCAAGTGTATAGAAATCACAGAGAAGATGAAAGTGTGTACTTGGGAAAGGCTAATTGGGTAAAACTATGGCAAGCAACTATCGATGAAAGGCATAAAATGATCATGGAGGATGACAACTAAGTCTCCCCACCAAAAGTGTCCTTGCAAGCAGATTCCCAATCCCAAATGTTTTCTGCCTCGTGTCAGCAAAGTATTGAATCAAAAACCCGCATGTGCGGGGCAATTTCTGCACAATAATTGAAATGAGAATAGATCTCTCCCACGGTGAGACTCGACCCGTCGAAGCGGTGGATCCAACAACAGGGAATGGGTTAAGAGGGCCAAAAGGGACCTAAGGACTGGTGATGAATTGCTTCTAGTGATGTCGAACCGATTCCGGTGGTTTGCGAGGAATTCCTGGAACACAAAAAACCGGTTAAAAGGGCGCCGAAATATTTTCTGGCATATCCCTTCCGAAGATCAAGTCAGTTCTTTGAGAGAAGGGAAAGAGAAAACATTGTTTGAGGCTCTTGAGAGGAGATTTCTTGTACCTTAGCAATGTGTTTCTGAGGGCTATTTATACCTTCAAAGGCCAATTATTACTGACAGTCTAGTCAGTAGGTAATCTTCAAAGATGGGACAGTGTCCCCCATACTTTTCATGGAGAATGCTCCCATCTTAATTGCTCGCACTGTTGGGCATTCAATGCTCTTTCTCCAATATTGAGGAATTGAATGCTCGGATCCCAGAGTGTTTAATGCCTCTCCTTCTTGGCTTATCAAGCCATGCTAGGTGTCTTATCAACTGATAATGCATCAAATGTTTGTCTCTATTAGCCGCATATCAGCAAGGATAGTTCTATCTTTTTACCACCCATCCTATACTTTATGCCACACGTCTAAATCTCTTTGGCTGAATGTCTAATTCATCCAGTCATACTGATTTCATCGTGCAGAGTGTCATCATTATTGTCTGCCTAGCTTTTTTTCATTCGTCAGTCATTGACTTCCTAAGGAACCAATGACTCAGTGATTGATGACGTGGTTCCTCAGACCTGAGGGAACTCCTCGGGGCCGATGGAGATACAGGAGCTAATCCATTGGAGCAGAGGGAAGGTTGAGGTCGAGGACACGTGGACTCGCCAGATCAAGGCAAGAAGAGGCCCTCGGGGCCGAGGACACGTGTCGTCACACGAACACCCTTCTAGAAATGTCCCATCAACTGCCCTCAGCCCTTTGATCTTCATACGGAGAGGTCACGTGTCGTCGGAAGATGGAAGGGTTTATAACTGTCCCAATAATTTCATCATTACTTCAGCAATTTTTTGTCGTTTGGGTGACGTGCGCATTAAATGCACCCTTTCGTGCTTCGTGCGCAATGATGAGGCCTAGGGAGCCTATATAAACAGAACCCCCTCTCCCTTTTTCACTTTTCGACACCATAAGCTTTCCTTAGAGGTTTCATTAACGTAGAACTATTGGAGCTTTGCTGCCTGAAGAATTCCTGTTATCTTTCCCAGCCATCACCAGAGAAGAAGAAGAAGAAAAAACATTCCTAAGTTTCCTCAATATTTTGGTCATCCTTCCCCCGTAGTCTCTAGTGAGTCTTCGTCCCTTTTCTTTTTGGTTTTTTTTGGTGAGTGCCATCCTTCTGAGCTCCCCATCGTCATTATTCTTGAAAAACCAGGCCCCGGGGTAGTCCTTCAGACTTCTCCTTCATTGTTTCGCATTCCTTAGCGTCCCTTAGGATTCCCTTGTGTGTTTTAAAGGAAGAACCCTCTTGATTTGACCTTCTTCCTATTCGAGATGCCGAGACGTCAACTGGTGACTAAGACCTAGGAGGCCGAGAAAATGGACAGTTAAGGGTGCCCAACAAATAGCAAACTTCAAAGCCAACTATGACATCCCTCGTGATGTTATCGTAGTCAATTTTGACCTAGCCCAGCATCGTCCTGACGTCGACGCCAAGGATGTTATGTCTTTTTATACCAAGGCGATCATGGAAGGAGGAATCATGTTCCCTCTTCCTCTGCTACTCCTTCAGTTCCTTTCTAGGTTCCGTCTTTTCCTGGGTCAGTGCGCCCTCAATACTTTTAGGATAATTATGGGAGTAGTGGAACTAAATAGGCTCCTTAGGGTCAACCTGGGCCTCGAGGACATCCTCTTCTACTATACCTTGATGAGAGTGCCGCGCGAACGGAGCCTTCTACCTGAAAGCCCGAGACGCCTCCATGTACTTTGTTACCCATCTCCCTGATTTAGATAAGGGGTACAAAGATGACCTTGTGGTCTTCAGTGGAGCCTGGGAGAGGGGAGTCAGCCCCGAATATGATGGTTTGTCCTGCCCTAGGGAGTGGCGAAGCACAAGTACACTAGGTTCCCCTTTCCTGAGTTTTCTTTTGATGCTTAATAACGAAATTCTGATAATCGTCTTTTGTGCAGACGTTTCTTCTCGGGAGGCCGCTCCTCCTGCTCGCACCTTGTAAACTTTGCCAACTTAGTGACTGTCTAGGGATACATTGGCGACAGTTTTGGCCACGTGGGACACATACTTTTGGGCTATGTTTCTGGTTATAAGAAATTTTCTCAACTTCCTCAACCATACGATCCCTCCAAGTGGTCCAAACTTTTTGCACGAGTAGCAAAACAGGACCTCGAACCGAATTTAAAGGAGGATCCTGACAGGGCCATAGAGGCCGAGGTAGAGAGGGCAAAAGAAGCGGCTGAAGTTAGATAAACCTCCACCACTATTCACCCCGAGATCAGCACGGTCGGAAGTGAAGTTTGGCCAGACTTCAATATTTTGCAAAGTTTGGACCAGGAGGATGCGCTCAAGGCTGCGATGTCGTGCCAACCACGTATCACTTGAACTTCTTGAACCAGTGGTCCGCTCTGAGGGGCAGGGGATCTGGATCTGCAAGTGGTGATCCCCTTCCCCCTCTAAGAGCCAGTACTAACTTTTCCCCCGCTACGGGGGCCAACACCAGTATTCTTCTTCCTCTAGGACTAGCACCAGCATTCCTCCTTCTCTAAGGTCTTCTGGTTGAGGATTGGTCCGTGACCGGATCCCTTGGTCGAAGAGGAGAAAGGACCAAACAAAGACAATAATGGAGCAGCTGAGGTAGGGGCCTTTCGTTACAACAACAATAATCACCGTAACAGCAAAGGCGAACTCCTCCTCCTCCTCCTCTAACACCGACGCCGACAGCTGAGGAGTGGTGCCCCCGGGCCAAGATCAAATGAACAGGCCAATCTGAGTTAATGACTTCATAGTCAGCGATCCTCACGTGACTTATACCGTGAGTGAAACGCTCCACTTTGAGGCTGACATGGAGGTACACCGGAACGCAGCCGACAACCAATTATTTTGCTCTATCATTCAGCACTCCCTGGTGGTAAGTGTCATTTTTTTGCGTTTCAACTCATTGTTTTTGGCGTAATCGTTTGTCTTTCTCTTCCTCAGGCTACTAACAGGTGTCGGTCATTACTGCGTGCTATCATGAGCAAAGGCAGAACTTTTAGCAGGCGAGAGGGAGAAGACTGAGGTCCGAGACGGCTCTTGCTATGGCCAAGGAGGAGGTGGCCGTCCGGGATAATACCTTGTCCACCAAGGCGGCC